AGAGGGATAGAGAGTCAGAAACATCGATGAGAGAGAAACATCGATCAGCTGCCTCCTGCACACCTCCCATGGGGATGTGCCCGCAACCAAGGTACATGCCCTTGACCGGAATCGAACCTGGGACCCTTCAGTCTGCAGGCCAACGCTCTACCCGCTGGTAGAGCCAAACTGGTCAGGGCTGTTGTTTTGATTTGTATCTCTTGGATGATTAGTGACTTTGAGCATTTTTTCATATGTCTCTTGGCCTTCTGTAAGTCCACTTTTGAAAAGTGTCTATTTAGGTCCTTTGCCCATTTTGTGATTGGATTGTTTATCTTCCTTTTGTTAAAATGTATGACTTCCCTATAAATTTTGGAGATTAGACCCTTATCGGATATTGTACCATCCTTGCATCCCTGGAATAAATCCCACTTGATCATGGTGTATGATCTTTCTAATGTAATGCTGGATCTATTTGCTAGAATTTTGTTGAGGATTTTAGCATCTATGTTCATGAGGGATATTGGCTTGTAATTCTCTTTCTTTGTAGTGTCTTTATCTGGTTTAGGGATTAGGGTAATGTTGGCTTCATAGAAAGAGCTTGGAAGTGTTCCTTTTGAATTTTTTGGAATAGTCTGAGGATGATAGGTTTTAGTTCTTCTTTGTGTGGTAAAACTGCCCTATGAAGCCATCTGGCCCAGGGCTTTGTTTGCTGGAAGTTTTTTTTATTACTGCTTCAATTTCCTCCATAGTTATAGGCTTATTCAGATTTTTTATTCTTCCTGATTGAGTTTTGGAGGTTTATATTTTTCTAGGAATATGTCCATTTTCTCTAGGTTGTTAAGTTTGTTGTCATTACGGTGTGTCTTGGTGTGGGTCTTTTTGGGTTCTTCTTGTTTGGGACTCTCTGTGCTTGTGTGACTCTTTTCTTTCCCAAATCAGGGTAGTTTTCTGTCATCATTTCTTCAAATAGGTTTTCTAATCCTTGCTCCTGCCTCCTGCACACCCCCTACTGGGGATCGAGCTCACAACCCTGGCATGTGCCCTTGACCATAATCAAACCCAAAACCCCTCAGTCCGCAGGCCAACGCTCTAGCCAAGGAGCCAAACTAGGTAGGGTGTTGCCCCCTCTTCTTGTCCTTCTGGTACCCCTATTATACGTATGTTGCTTTGTTTCATGTTTTCTCAAAGCTCCTTTAGGCTCTCCTCCTGCTTTCTAATTTTTTTCTCCAATTGCTATTCTGCTTGGGTGTTTTTTTCTGCCCTGTCTTCTTACTCGCTAATTCGATCCTCCGCTTCTTCTAGTCTACTATTGAAATCGTCCAATGTGTTTTTTATTGTAGCTATATCATTCTTCATTTCCTCTTGATTCTTACATAAGTTGTTGATTTTCTCATCCAGCCAGTTTAGGAACTGTATGACCCTTACTCTGAATTCTGTTTTTCGTTTCATTTAATTCCTTTTCTGGCGACTCCTTTTTTTTCCTTTGGGGATTCTTTGTCTCCCCATTTTTGCTCTCACTGAAGTGTCCAGGCATCGAGTTTCTCGGGGCCTGTGGCTGAAGCGACGGGCTTCTCGGAAGGGTCGTGCACTCCAAGCCTCACCAGAGTGCCCAAGCGCTGGAGTTGCACATGTGGCCTGAGGCTGAAGTGGCAGGTTGGTGGGAGGGGAGTGCACGCTGGGGCTCACAGAAGCCTGCGGCCCGAGAGGCCTGAGTCCCGGTGTCTGTGGGTCTGTAGCTGTAGTAGCATGTCTTTGGCCAGAATGGCTACAGGGTCTGGGATGATGTCTGAGGCCAGTCTGGGTGGTGGTGAGGCTGGGCTTCTAGTCACAGCAGCTCTCCCCTTCAAGATGGCATGGTTTCTGAGCAAGAACAGCCACCCTGGGAATCCCTGCAGTGGTAGCAGGGGCTCCTTGTCTAGTAGAGTCCAGCCTGCCAACCCCCGAGTTTCCTGCAGGATGTAACTGTCCCTCATTCACACACAGACACACACACACACCCTGTACACGTGCTCCCTCACTGCCATCCTGCTGGCCGCCATCTTGACTCCTCCTTAACTTATTTTTGACTAAGATTAAAATAGAATGATTTGTTAATAGTTGCAGTAAAAATATCTGAAATTGAACTGGTGGCAATTCTAGAATTATTTGCCAAAATCAAGACTTAAACTTCATTTTTAAAGCATCAGAAGTGAAGTAGGTGTAAAAAAGAATTCATAGAAAATTAATTTCCCCAACCCCCTTTTACCTTTTAAAAAGGCTACTTTAAATGGTTTATTATGTGCAGCTATTTCAGTGAATGGATTAAGTATAATTTCAAGTTCAGGTTAACGTTTCTCAGTTGAATCAGGTTGTTACTACAAGCTTTGGCTTTATAAAGGCCTCTCTGTTTGGACTGCACAATTACTCAGGGTATAGTGGCTTTCAGTAGATGCTAGTGCTAGTATGTGTTGCTCTTTGGATAAAACAAGGAACCTTTTATAGATAGTGCTTAGCATGGAAACATGAGGTTCGAATATAGGGTGCCCTGTGGTGGAGACTAGTTAAGGACAGTGTTTATGTATACCCTGCTTGCCAGGTCTTCATTTCCAGATGAGTCAAAAATTAAAGGAGTAAGATGGCAATTTTAAATTTTAGGATAATATTAATACCATTTTTTAGTACTACTGCTGTGTCATTGCCAGCTATTCGATTTCTGTCCCTTTTAGGTAAATATCAGCAATGACAACTTAAAATAACCAGAGTGCAATACTGTGCATGAGAAAATGTTGGTGGTATTTTACTTTATAAAAATTAATCATAGTTTATTTTAGGGAATTCTAGAGATTCTAATGAAATAATTGTTTTTATTTATGTATAATTTAAACATATATGTTAAATTAAGAATACTATAATTTTTGTTCCTTTCCCAGTGACATTTGTCTTATGTTTTCTCATTATGAAACAATTTTTTGTTACCTTTCTATGTTGCTAAAAAAAAAAATTTTTGATTACGTAGAAGCCACATCCCTTCCATACCATCACTTCATGATTAAAATATTGAGGTGTGTTTCTGTGATAAGTGTTTTGTTAAGGTATTTTAAAATGCAAACTATAAGGATTCACACATTACAAGCAGGTTGTAGAGCGATCACCAGTAATTGCTAATTTAAATGATTCATCTCATCTAAAGGAGTCAGATAACTAAGGTATGAATAGGCTTTTCTTTTTGTTAAATTTGCCTTTTTAAAAACATGTTTTTATTGATTTTTAGAGAGAGAGGAAGGGAGAAGGATAGAGAGAAACATGGATGAAAGAGAAACATCATCTATTGGCTGCCCCCTACTGGGGATTGAACCTGCAAACCAGGCATGTGCCCTGACTTGGAATCAAGTTGGTGACTCTTGGCTCATGGTCGACACTCAAGCATTGAGCCATACCAGCTGGGCAAGTTTTTTCTATTAATAAAAGTAATCTTTTTCTTAGGAAAAAAATGTTAGGATATAAAATTCTAATTTGATTCTTTTTTGTTGTTGTTACTCCTCATCTGAGGATTTTTTCCCCCCACTGGTTTTTAAAGAGCGAGAGAGAGAGAGAGAGAGAGAGAGAGAGAGAGAGAGAGACAGAGACAGACAGGCAGACAGACATAGACATCAATGCGAGAGAGACACATGGATTGATTGCCTCCCACACGTGCCCCCAACTGGGCTGGGGATCGAACCTGCAACCTCAGCCAACACTTTAACCACTGATCCAAACCTCCCATGGCTCTAATTTGATTCTTTTATTAGATTCTTTTATTATTATTATTGTTATTTTAATCTAATTTGATTCTTAAAAACTGTTTGCATAATAAATATTACTGTTCATCATCACTATAAATCCTGATTTTTGCTAGGCTAAAAATGAGGGTGAGGGCATTATTTGAATAAGGAAAAAGGGTAGATACAAGTGGTATGTGAGTGTATGTTAGGGTAAGTGTAGATTTTAGGGACAAGCCTTGATTAAAGAGTAAAAGATGATTTTAGAATAATGTTGACATTTTATTTTAATAAGTGACTTTAGTTTAGCTTTCAGGAGCTGTTTATAGTCTGCCTTACACCTTTTTCCCCCATCTATATATTTCACTGCTCTAACATAAATCCTGGTCTTGAGGCAAATTTGTTTTCTCCCTACTCCCTGATGCACTGTGCCCCTTCACACCTCATGGCTCCAGTTTTAGACTATTTCCTTTGCTTCTGGAGACCTACCCTGTCCACCATAGGAGGTACACCTTCCTCTCACAGCTCTTCACAGGTACCCTGAAACCTTACCTGTTCACATATAGGTGTGATGTCTCCTGAGCTTTTAGAACATTTATTTGCCTCTTTAGTAACTTTCATGGAAGGTCAAGAACATGTCTTAAATATTTAAAAAAATCTCTCATATCCCTGAAGACTATACCTTACTCATAGTGGGTGTTTAATAAATATTGCATGAAGGATTGTGAAAATGTTGGTATTGTATTATTTTTTATACAGTGGAATGAATTTTTCTCTACTCTAAAACAGGTTAATGTATATGCCAATGTAATAATTCGTTTAGGACAGGGTTTCTTGGTGGTTGGCATTGTTCTATTTTGTGCTGGATAATTGTTTTAGGGATATTGTCTTGTATGGTTTAGCCTGCCCTACTCTCTCCTCACTAGATGTCAGTAGTACTCCTTGTCCTCACCCCAGTTGTGAAGACCAACAGTGTCTCTTACATTGCCAAATGTCCCTTGTTTGTCAGTATGACTCCTGGTTGAGAACATTGCTTTAGAAGAAATAAGCATAAGGATTTCAAGATTCTTCTTAATTGTAGTTTATAACATGTGTATGTTTTTGAAGGGCTTTTAAGTAAAAACAAATGTTTCAAAATTCTTCAAATTTAACATTGTATAATTTAAGGAAACTATCTGAAGGACACTATTAATTCTTATAAAACTTTGATGACTTAAGAGAATTGCATTTTTTGTGTCTATTTTACATTGAATGATGGATTTTATTTGGTGTTTTCTGCAGATTGAAATTAAAATGAAAAAGTCAGAGGCTGTGAGATGGGAAAAACTCGAGGGAGAAGAAGAGCCTAAGCCAAAACAGTTCGTAGCAGGTTTGTTTTCTGGCCTTGATGAGCTTTACATTCAAATTGTGTTATATAGTTGAAATTAAATAGTAATGAGCTTTCTTTTTGTTTTCATTATTTATGTTCCCAATATAAAACACATCGAGTATCATAAGGTTGCTCTATAATGAATACAAATTGGCTCGTCTTATGAAGGTTCTGACTTCTTAAACTCTTAAGAGTACAAATGAATGGCAGCAAAAGCCTAGAGAAAATTTGAATTTATTGTTTACCTTGCAGTTTATGACATCAATTGGAGGTTGTTTTGTGTGTGTGTGTGTGTGTGTGTGTGTGTGTGTGTGTGTGTGTGTGAGAGTGTTGGCCTTTCCTATTTGTGCTTTTTTAGTTTTAAGTGGATTAGTAATTTACCGATATATTTTCTCCTCTTTCCTCTCCCTTCTTATTTATTCCTTTCTATGCTGATATTGTCGACTCTAATTTCCTGGAATTTCAGAGATTCACTGAATAAAGTATTCATTGCACTATATCAGGGGTCCTCAAACTTTTTAAACAGGGGGCCAGTTCACTGTCCTTCAGACCGTTGGAGGGCCGGACTATAGTTTAAAAAAAACTATGAGCAAATTCCTATGCACACTGCACATATCTTATTTTGAAGTAAAAAAACAAAACGGGAACAAATACAATATTTGTATTTGCATGTGGCCCGCGGGCCGTAGTTTGAGGACCCCTGCACTATATTGTCTAATATAATGAATTTACTTATTTATTTATTTATAATATATTTTTATTGATTTCAGAGAGGAAGGGAGGGTGAGAGATAGATAGAAACATCAGTGATGAGAGAGAATCACTGATCGGCTGCCTCCTGCACAGCCCACACTGGGGATTGCAACCCGGTCATGTGTACTGACAGAGAATCGAACTGTGTCCTCCTGGTTTGTAGGTTGATGCTCAACCACTGAGCCATGCCGGCCGGGCTGTTTCAGTTACTTTTAGATATTTCACTGCTTTCTTCTATAACAGAAAACATATTTCCCTGTGGAACTTTTTAGAAAACTCCGAGTTAGCCAACAGATCATGCATTTTTATTATTTTTTATTTTGAAATAATTCTCATACAAGTTGCAGAAATAGAGTTTCTATGTACCCGTCACCTAGCCTTCCTGGATGTTAATATTGTAACTAAGCTATAGAATAATTAGTAAAATTAGGAAACTGACACCAACAGGTAATTTTTAAGAATGAAATTTGGGGCTGGATAATTAAGAATGAAATTTCAAGTTGGTATTTAAGCTATTTAACTAAGCTTCTGCATCCCACTTTATTTGAAATACATAGTAAAATATTATGTGCTTCTCTTAGGGCTGACTCCCATGGATTTTGGGGCTGAAGTTTATACATAGCTCAAAGCATTTTTAAAAGAAACACTTTAATGTAGTATCTCATTTAATTCTAACAATGGCCCTATATAGTAGGCAGCCTAGTATTGTTTCTCCTAGTTTACAGGCTCAGAAAGGTTAAGCAGCTTGTTTTAAGATCACCTAGCGTTTTTTATTGTCTAGGACTAAACCCAGGTCTTCAGAGTCTGGGTCTGGTTCTTCTGTTAACCTATGTTTTACTGATTGTTTTTGCATTTTCTAACAATGAAAAGTCTCTGCTGACTTGAGTATCTTTGCAGTTATTTGATATTATAGTGAACTAGAGGCCTGGTGCATGAAATTTGTGCACTCGGGAGAGTGTCCCTCAGCCCAGCCTGCGCCCTCTCTTAATCTGGGAGCCCTTGGGGGATGCCGTCAGTCGGACATCCTTAGCGCTGCCGTGGAGGTGGGAGAGGCTCCTGCCACCGCTGCTGCGCTCGCCAGCTGTGAGCCTGGCTTCTGGCTGAGCGGCCCTCCCCCTGTGGGAGCGCACTGACCACCAGGGGGCAGCTCCTGTGTTGAGCGTCTGCCCCCTGGTGGTCAGTGCACATCATAGTGATTGGTCATTTGCATATTAGCCTTTTATTATACAGGATAAGCAAGGAAGTTAGGTTACTCTCAGTAATTCATCTACTACCTACAGATGTTAAAATTTTTCTGAGTTCAACTATAAAGGTTTTTTTAATTTTACAAACTTTTCTAAACTAAATGCTTTGCATATTCATAAAGATGCTATTCCTCCTGTCCTGTTATATTTTTGTAAGGAATTAATATGCTTGTCAGATTCCTGTGTACTGCAAGCTGCAGACTGCAAATAAGGGCACATTGCTTAACCTATCTGGGCAGTGGAAATTCGAACCTGTGTTCCCATCTTTCTGGGAAGTCTGCATCAGGATGAATTTAATCCATGTTTCCTAGGCTCTTAATTTTCATGGCAAGTTAAAATTTTTATTTGGCTACTAGTGATAATGTACAGAGATGGAGGAGATTACTAGTAGAGGAAGATTGGTAGTGTGTGAAAAATAGTATGCTTGCCCTGAATAAAACTGTGTGGTGTGTTGTAGTTTTGTTTTGTTTTGAGGCAAGGATAGGCAGGGAGAAAGTTGGTTTACCAGTGAAGAGAAAGGATGGAAAAACAGAATGAACAATTAGTAGTTTTCTCATTTATTTTGAGGAAGGGGATGTAGAGAGGCAGTAGTGGAAGAAGGACATTTAGATTAGTATTAATGTGTTCTAATATATTGATAGGAAATCTTTGAATCAGTTTTTTTTAAATCTCTGTGTTGCATTGTCCAATATAGTAGCTGCTAGCCACATGTACCTATTGAGCACTTGAAATATGACTAGCCTGATTTGAGATGTGCTCTCAGTATAACATACATACTAAATTTTGAAGACTTAGTATGAAAAAAAAGAAATAAATACCGTAATGTTTTTATTTTATGTTGAAATGATACTATTTTGTATATATTAGGTTAAATAAATATATTATTTAAATGCATTTCACCTGATTCTTTCTACTAAGGTGGCTACTAGAAATTTTTAAATTATTTATGTGGCTCACATATGTGGCTTGCATTATATTTCCATTGGACAATGAACAGAACTGCTCTTATAGCTACTGGGTAGGTTAGTTACTTTTAAATTATTTGTATGCCAAGATCTTAATTCCTTTGGTCTTTGGGGCAGCCTTGACAGTGCCCTGAGTCCCTGGGCTGGTATCTGTATGCCTGCAAGCAGCCTCCATTTATCCCAGGGTGCCCTGCAAATACTGTTATTTGCTATGTGTGCATAGTGTGGGCATTGAACTCTAGGTCATCCCATATAGTATTTTTTAATATTATGGACCTGATTCTTATTATCTCCTATTGAAGTATTCTGATATTTTTAATGTGGGGAGAGAATGGATGAATTAACTCACTGCCGAATAGGATGGATAATTATTTACATTTGCAGTTTATTTCTGCTCTGGAAGATATATAAGTATCTTAGGAAAGGTCACATTTTTAACATTAAAATCGTGTCTATAAGAGAAATTTCTGAGTGAAGCAACTTAAAAAACACATTAATTTTATAATTGTACTATCTTTGCAACTTTTCTGTAAATATAAAAAAGTTTCTATATACTTTTCACTTAGTTTCCCTTATTATTAACATGAAGAATCTGTTCTTCATCTAATTTTGCATAATGTATCAAAAGTTTACGTTTTATGGAACTATTTTTTTCAAAAGAGATTGCTGTATTTTACATTATGTTGATTCAGTTTTTAGAAGTGTAAATTTAATTATTGATGTCTGTCAGAAAGATACTTATTTCAAACATGAAGTTCACCTATTATTTGCTAAGGTGTTCTTTACACCATGGTAACAAAGTTTACATATTCTTGGCATAATCAACACATGTTAATTAATCACTTCTTTTTACTCTGTAGATGTAAAGAACCTATATCCATCATCATCTCTTTATACAAGAAATTGGGATAAATTGGTTGGAGAAATCAAGGAAGAAGAAAAGAATGAGAAATTGGAGGGAGATGCAGCTTTAAACAAATTATTTCAGCAGATCTATTCAGATGGGTCTGATGAAGTGAAACGTGCCATGAACAAATCATTTGTAAGAATATAAACTTTAAAAATATATATTGTGGTAGTAAATTTCAGAAATTTAAAAAGAATAAGATCAAAATTTGAGTCCAAATTGCATGTTGGGAGATCTTTTTGAGTAAGCTTTGTCTGGACATTTCTTCTTGCTCTAAACTTAGAATAATTACTGACGAAGTCAGAACTGGTGGAGGAGATAAGAAACAAGTGGTTTACACCAAATATTTTTTATCATTGAGTTAGAACTGGAAAGGCTTAAGAAATATCAAGGTTATAGTGGGTGATACAGAGTTATTCTAGTTAGACTTATCAGAATAGCTGAATGAGCTTCCATTGTTTACCTTACAGCAGTTCTCAACCTGTGGGTCGCGAACAATGAAAATACATCCTGCATATCAGATATTTACATTACGATTCATAACGTAACAAAATTACAGTTATGAAGTAGCAATGAAAATAATTTTATGGTTGGGGGTCACCACAACATGAGGAACTGTATTTAAAGGGTGGCGGCATTAGGAAGGTTGAGAACCACTGGATAGTCTCAATATCAGAGATGAAAAATACAGAAGGGAAACTTCCAGAACAGTGTTTGGCAAGTTAAAGTGCATATTATTATTCATTGGTTTTTTGATAATTTCTTTATTGATTAAGAAAATTCAGATTTTGCCAGGGCGGCATAAATGTTGTCTGTATTAGGCCTCAAGTTCTGAGATCTCAATGACAAGTCATCACTGTAGAATTATGTAGATTTTTTGCTTGAAGATGTAATCATTTGATTTTTACCAGTAGCATTGAAAATGTAACACACTTTTTTTAAATCCTCACTGAGGATATGTTTATTGATTTTTTTTTTTAGAGAGAGAGGGAAGGGGGTGTAGGGGAAGAGAGAGAAGAAAGAAACATTGATGTGAGAGAGAAACATCGATCCATCGCCTCCCGTAGGTGCCCTGGAATGGAATCCATAGTCTTTTGGTGTAGGGGGTGATGCCTCCAACCAACTGAGTTACTTGGCCAGGGCTGTAACTCTCTTCTTTTAAGACATTTATATTTATAGTAAATGTTAAAATTAACATTTACTAATTAATATTTAGTTAATCAGTGTGTTTGAGGTTTAGATACTCCACATAAATTACTATGTGTTAACTAGTCATGATTGTGCTTTTCACTGTTGACTTAAAAAATTTTTGTTTTAATTAGACTTTATTTTGAAATAGTTGTAAATTCACATGAGTTGTAAGAAATGAGGAATACTCCTTATATCCTTTAGTTTCCCTCAATTGAAACATTTTACAAAATTGTAGTACAACATTACAACCAGGATATTGACAGTTAAAGTACAGAACATTTCAGTTGCCACAGGATCCCTCCTTATCATTTTATAGCTATACTCACTTTGCTCCCACTCCTACCCCTTCTTAATCCTTGACAACCACTAATCTGGCAAGTCTTTGTCAGATATGTAATTCGCAGATATTTCTCACAGCCTGTAGCTTGTCTTTTCATTTTTAAAAAAATATATTTTTTTATTGATTTCAGAGAGGACGGGAGAGGGAGAGAGAGATAGAAACATCGTGATGAGAGGGTCATTGATTGGCCACCTCCTGCATGCCCCACACTGGAGATCTAGCAGGCAACCGGGTCATGTGCCTTGACTGGGAATTGAACCGTGACCTCCTGGTTCATAGGTTGATGCTCAACCACTGAGTCAGGTTGTCTGGGCCACTTTTTTTTTTTTAATATATTTTATTGATTTTTTTACAGAGAAGAAGGGAGAGAGATAGAGAGTCAGAAACATCGATGAGAGAGAAACATCGATCAGCTGCCTCCTGCACACCCCCTACTGGGGATGTGCCCACAACCAAGGTACATGCCCTTGACTGGAATGGAATCTGGGACCCCTCAGTCCACAGGCCGACGCTCTATCCACTGAGCCAAACCAGTTAGGGCTGGGCCACTTTTTTAATGTTCTTTGCAAAGCCAAAGTATTTCATTTGATGAAGTTTAATTTATCAATTTTTTCCTTTGTGGATCATACTTTTAGTGTCAAATCTAGTATTTCTTAGTCCTGGATCTCAAAGATATTTTTTCCACATTTTAAAAAAATAAAAGTTTTGTAGTTTTACATATTACATTTAAGTCCATATCCATTTTGACTTAAAGTGTGAGACAATGGTTAAGGGTTTTCGTTTGTTTGTTTGTTTTAGCCTGTTTATATTCTATTACTCTACTTGTTGAAAAGATTGTCTTTCCTCCATTAAATTTCTTTTCACCTTTCTCAAAAATCAGTTGAGCATTTTGTGTGAGTCTATTTCTGGGTTCTCTGTTTTCCATTGATCTACATGTCTCTCCCTTTGTTAATACCACAGTCTTGATTACTATAACTATATAAGTCTTGAAATTGGGCAGATTTATTCCTCCTACTTTATTCTTCATTTTTAAATTGTTTTGTCCTAGTTCCTTTGCCTTTCCATATACATTTTAGAATATTTTGTCTATATGTACAAAAAATCCTGTTAGAAATTGCATTGAACTGTATATCAATTTGGAGAGATTGACATCTTTACTGTGTTGAATTTTCTAACCCATTTATTTAGCTTTTCTCTGATTCCTTTCATCAGCATTGTGCAGTTTTCAGCATATAAATCCAGTACATGTTTTGGTAGATGTGCCTAAGTATTTAATTCTTTTTTTGAGTGATTATAAATAGTATTATATTTGATATTGGTTTGTTGTTCATATCTATAAATACAGTTGTGTTTTTTAAAAATGTTTGCTTTACATTCTGTGAATTTGTTGAACTTAGTAGTTTTAGGAGATTTTTTCGTAGATTTCTTTTGATCTAAGAAGAATAGATTCCTTCTGTTTTCTATATCATATTGTTTTCAAATATGGACCGTTTTATTTTTTCCTTTTATCTTCTTTTCTTGATATATTGCACTGGCTGGAACTTCTAGCACTGTGTTGAATAAGAGTGGACATCCCCATCTTCAGTCTTTCACTATTAAGTATGTTGTACGTATTTTGTAGATGCTCAACCAAGGTGAAGTTCTGCTCTATTCCTATTTTTTACTGAGCTTTTATATCATGAACAAATTGACTTGTTGAATGCTTTTTCTGCATTGATCAATATAATAATGTGATTTTTTTTAGCTTTATATGATAAATATGATTGATTTCTATTGTTGAACCAGCCTTGCAGCCCTGGAATAAACCCCACTTTGTCATAGTGTAGAATTCTTGTTATATATTGCTCAAATCTATTTTCAAATACTTTGTTAAGAATTTTTGTGTCTGTATTCATGAGGGAATTGGTCTGTAGTAGTCTCTTTTTTTTTTTTTTGTACTTTGTCTGGGTTTGGTGTCAGGGTAATACTAACCTTAAAAGAAGATTGGGAAGTGCTTCATCTCCTACTTTTTTTTGGAAGAGCTTGGGTAGAATTGGGGTTCATTATTCTTTAAACATCTTTAAACCAGTGAAATCATCTGAGCCTGTTCATTTCTTTTGAGGGGATTTAAAATTGTTATTTTAGCCCAGCCAGTGTGGTTCAGTGGTTGTGCATTGACCCATGAACCAGGAGGTCACGGCTCTTTTCTCTGCCAGGGCACATGCCCCAGTTGCAGGCTCAATCCCCAGTAGGGGGCATGCAGGAGGCAGCCAATCAATGATTCTCTCTCATCATTGATGTTTCATCCCTCTCTCCCTCTCCCTTCCTTTCTCTGAAATCAATAAAAACATATTTTTAAAAAAATTATGATTTTAAATATCATAATAGCATATAGGACTATTCAAATTATCTGTTTCATATTGAGTGACTTGTGGTAGTTTGTGTTTTTGAGGAATTGGTCTATTTTGTGTAAGTTTTTAGTATTGGTAGTATTCCCTTGTTACCCTTTTGATGTCTGCAGGATCTCTGTGGTGATATTCTATTTCATTCCTATAATGGTAATTTGTGTCCTTTCTCTCTCTCTCTCTCTCTCTCTCTCTCTCTTTATCAGTCTTGGTAGAGGTTTGTCAACGTTGTTGATTTTTTTTTCAAAGAATCAGCTCTTTGTTGATGTTTAAAAACTTGTTTGCTATTTTTTTCTAAATTTTATTAATTTCTGTTCTTTGTTATTTTCTTCCTCCTGCTTGCTTTGGGTTTATTTTGCCCCCACCCCCTTTTTTTCCCCTGGGTTCTTCATATGTGAGCTTAGATTGTTGGTTTGACTCTTTTTTCTCTTTTCTGTTTGTTGTGTGGGTTTATATAATAAACTCTAGAGGCCCGGTGCATGAATTTGTGCATGGGTGGGGTCCAGCTGGCACACCCTGATTGGGGCTGATCAGGCTGGGCCAGCGGGGGGGGGGGAGAGGATGTAGGAGGTTGGCTGGCCAGCCCTGCCCCAGATCGGGGGAGAGGCTGGGGGCGGTTGGCCAGCTAGCCCCGCCCCCTGGTCGAACTCCAGTGGAACTCCCAGTGGAGAGGTCAATTTGCATATTAGCCTTTTATTATATAGGATTTCTTAGCAGGGTTTTAGCTGACACCCACAGTTTTTGATTGTTATATTTTCATTTTTATTCAGTTCAGGATGTATTTTGATTTCAGTTGAGACTTCTTTGTCTCAGATTGTTTAGAGGTATGTTGTTTAGTTTCCATTGATTGGAGAATTTCCTGTTGTCTTTCTATTACTGATTTCTTATTATTTCATTGTGGTTTGAGAATGTGTGCCATATGAATTACATACTTTTAAATTTGTTGATGTTTGTTTTATTGCCCAGGATTTGGTCTATCTTAACTAAACTTCCACTTGAAAAGAATGTATTCTGTTGTTATTGAGTGTAGTGTTCTATAAATATCAATTAGATTCTTTTGGTTGTTATTTTTGTTGAATTCCTCTATATCATTGCTGATTTTGTCTTTTTTAAAATTTATTTTATTGATTAAAGTATTACAAGTAGTAATACAGTGGAGCCTTGACTTACGAGTTTAATTCATTCAGTGACGGAGCTCGTAACTCAAATTAGTTGTATGT